TAAAACTGTTGAGTTGAAAAAGGTACCTCTCGTTCCTGATGTACCATGCCTTTGGAGCCTTATTCTCCTACCCTGCAACCACAAGACCTGGTAGTTGCATCTCATAAGTATCTTCCGTCAACTTGGTATTAAAAAGAGCCCTCTTAACATTCTATTGAAAAATAAAACCACCATGGTGTGCTGATAGGGCTAGCAGACTAAGGGAATCCCAATTTCGTGATTTCTTAGTTTTGGATTTTGATGATGCAGAGGAGGAAAGCCCTATCACATCTGTTTGCACTACTTCCTCTACTTTTTTCTTGAAACTGCATTGTACCATATGGAATTTCAGCAATTATATCCACTACTACATATGGAGTATCATAATCGACCTCGGCATCATCACTGATCTCCCGCTCACGGACCCCTACTTCAGCTTCAATGTCAAGATTCTGCACGTTATTTATTTTCTTGACCCCTATACCTTTAGCGAGCTGCCACTTCCTAGTGGACTGCAGCTCGAGCTTTATACAACCTTGGTCCCATTTATCTCCCTCTATTTTTCTCTCATAACACATACGATCTTCTGATTTAACTCTCGTGGCTTTTATGTTGCGCCCAGCTTCCATATTTGCTGCTTTTAAGTTAGATGAATACTCGTTGAATAAAACCTCCCGATCCTCATGCTTGATAGTCATGTACCTAAGATCATTCCTTAAATTTTTCTTCACTCTGGACCAACATGAATACGCATTTGTATCTCCTTTTTCTTTGAGTATAGACTTGAATCCAGCTGCAACTATTGAACGTGCAACTTGAGCTTTTCTCTTGCTGTGTTCCTCAAGCTAAGATTCCTGGTTTTTGTGTTCTCTTTCGATCGTCTTTCCTGAGGTGCCAACAGTGTAGTACGAATTCCTGTTTCTTTCATTGGTTCTACACAAGCCATCAACAACATATCTTCTTCCATATATCCATAACTGACAGAAGAATAACAAGCCCTTTGATTCCACTCTCGGCATTCAAAACAAAAATGGCCCAACTTATGACAACTAAAACATTCAATTGTTTCTCGATTCCATACTCTTCCATCTCTGCCTAGACCCCTGCCGCTGCAGCCAACTCGTCGCCGACCATGACCACCATAACCGTGAGTGGATTTGAAGGCTTGATCATCCTTAACAAGCTTCTTACGAAATTTCTATTTATACACTAATAAGGAGCTTTGCAAAGCATCCACCGAAAGAGTGTCAATGTCTTTTGACTCTTCTATGGAACAAACTATATGATTGAACTTTTCTGTTAAAGTTCGGAGAATCTTTTTAACAATCCTCACATCAGAGACACCCTCTCCGCAGTTCCTCATAGCATTTGCCACCACCATAACTCGCCTAAAGTAATCGTTCACAGATTCACCATCCTTCATCTCCAACAATTCAAAGTCCCTTCTAAGAGTCTGTAATCGAGCTCTCTGAACCCTGGCCCTCCCTTGAAACTTGAGTTCATGGAATCCCAAAGATCCTTTGCAGTAGACTTCTTGGCTATGGTAACCAAAACAATCTTATCAATTGATCTACATAAGCAATTCTTAGCCTTAAGATCTTTCAAGACCTCACATGAACCTGCAGAAAGCTCGATATCAGCATCTGTCTTTTTTATTCCATCGGCTACAACACTCCAATACTCTTCTAAACGCAACAAATTTTCCATTAGCATGGCCCAATGATCATAATCGCCATCAAATCTGGGTATGATCTGGGTATGCCCACCTGGACAAAGTTGTTCTCACCCATGATTTCACTCTTCCATATCTCAATGCAACTATGCAAGCAATTGGATTTCACCTTTATGTCTCTCGTACTTCTCACCCCAACAAAGACAAATCTCACCAATGCTTTGTGTTTCACTCGCACTCAGAAGCAATCTCAAAATCAATCACTTGTGGTTACAGTTTGCTATTGGCTCTGATACCACAATGTAGAATCCAATTTGCTGCAAACTGACCAACATTTTTATTGAAGCAAAAAGAGATTAAATACAAAAGAAAAAAGGATGCCCTCAAACTCTCCTGCACGTCCACTTCTATCCACCAACTCCTTCTCCCTAATATTCAGCTACTACTAACGTCTAACAACTAACTTCTGCTAACAATTAGCAGCACGTAGTTAGACACATAAGCTACCTATAATTACTCAACTGGGACTCCAAACTCCAGCTAACACCAAACGTCAGTGTATTCTAATTAGTAACTCAACAACTTTAAAAGCTATTATATCCAAAGGTACTCTTTTCCCCTGGCTACTAATGGCTATTATATCCAAAGGTCATTTGGTTTTGTTATCCAATACAACTGAAGAGGACACTTTTTAGCCGTTTATCATTTTAATTGTTAGTTGCATAACAACAATAACAATTCACAACCCCCTGGAACTGGAAGAGCTATGATTGATGAATAAATTAAGAGATGCAAAACTAGAGTACCCCTAGGCTTCTTTCAGCCGACCGAATTGGAATTAGTATAGTTTCCTTTTGGTTCTTTGCCGTCCTAATCATCAAATCACTAATCAATTAGTTTAGTTTGCTTTTTGTTTCTTGTATTGGCAAACAAAAGAATGCAGCATGATATGTGGCGTTAGCATCAAGTAAGTGAGAAGTGCCGTCTGGAAGGAACTGTTAATTCCTAAATTACTCTTTACAGTTTGGAATTTGGATTCCTTCATAGTTCTACAAGGCCAGAATTCACCGATCAATGGAGGGACTCTGTTCAGGAACCATCCAACGAAAAATTAAATTGTGGAAGAACAGCAATTAACAAGTAACTCTCGAATCTCGGGTTTATGTTTAATATCCAAAAATAGTCAAATTTTTAAAGTATTAGAACTACTATAAAATAGCCAACTAGTTTAACATATTGGACTAAAATAGTCATATGTTAGTTTAAGCACTAATAGTGTTGATGTGGCTAACTGGAATGGTGATAGAGAGCAAAATCATGTGAAGTGGTATGAAGGTAGTATTTTTTACATTAACACGTAAAGGTTTATTTACTCGTATTAAAACATTTCATCCAGATTAATTATACAGAGAAAAAATCACACCAATTTATTCCAACGGCGTGAAGCGAGCCTACATCTTTCACTCAAGATCATCATTGTCTTCTCTAGCCATCACCCTCTTCAACAAGCCACCGTCATCTCTTCTTCAGGAGGCAACTCTTCTCCAACGGTCGTCGCTTCTGCAGGCGAACATCGACAACACATCCATACATAACTAAAACCACCTATTGAGATCACCATATCAAGACGACGACGTGCTAGAAGACGGAGGGGACTGGAAATGACGATGGTGAGCTCAATTGAAGGATGCAAGGCCGCTTCATTCTCTCGAAATAAATGAATGGATTTTTAATTTTACGGTATAATTAATCTGAGCAATTTTTTTTTAAAATATGGAGTGAGTAATTGTTGATATGTTAATGTGAAAAGAGTATTATCTCCATGCCACGGCTCAAGTTAGAGTGCATAACCATGAATTATGCACTCATCAATAATTAAATCTGGACCCTTCATTTAGAAAATCCAGATGTAAGGATGGAGAATTAAAGGTCATTTTTATTTTCACTAGCTTTCTTAATTGACTCATATTTTTTTCGTTTTAACTCGGATTTTAATTTTTTTTTTTTTTTTTGCACAGATGGAACGAGTTCATCGTGCTCTACAAAATGAGATTAATTTTCAATATTTTTTGAGGAAAAAAAAATTATGGCCTCTCGGTACCAACTACATACCATATGGTATCTTCTTCGTTTTTAATTCATTTTTGAAAACGTTTGCACAGCAGGGACGAGTTCATCATGATCTAGTGGATTTACAAATTTCTGGGTGAACAAATTACAAGACCAAAAAATACCACATAATACCATACAATACCACCCTGGTACGGGGTGGTATCTTATGGTATACAATGTTAAAAGTCGTAAATGACAATTAATATACTTCTACTATCATGTATTCAACCATCCTACAGTTTTGATTTGTGTCATACCACCATGGTACGCTTTTCAAACCATAGGTATGCTCTTATTTTAATACCAGTCAATACCATATGGTATAGACTGGTAAAAAATGGCTCAATTTTTTTGTTCGAAAAATATATCAGAGTGGATGTCATTTTGAAGAGCACAATTAATCTGATCTAACTGTGCCAAAAAAATTAAATTTCAACTTAAAACGAGTGAGAAATCGTCCGTCAAAGATTAAAGAGGGGAAAATTAAAGGCTTTTCATGAGAGAGAGGATGCTGATATCATGCTGATGTGAGCGGGTTACTCATAGTTACTCAACATAAGGTTAGTGACCTGATCCGTTCCCCAATGCCACATTACAAAATCTCATGTACATCACAATTTTTTTTAGCTACGTCTGCATATTTTATGGTGAAACTAACATATTTGACTATTTTATGATATTCTAAATAATTTTGGTTATTTCTATTCACTTTTCAAATTTTAGGCTATTTTTGGGTGTTTACTATAAAAAAAACTATAAATGGATAATTACGTTGACGTTATTGCAATTTAAAATTTAATTAGTACATTCCTTAATTTTTACAATTGCGAAATAAAATCATTTACCAGTTACCACAAATATGATTGGTTATACACCCATCAGTAACTAAATCTGAACCCTTCATTCAGAAAATCTAGATCTAAGGGTGGAGAATTAAAAACATTTTTATTTTCCCTAACTTTTTTAATCGGCTCATATCTTCTTCGTTTTAACTAGGATTTCTAATTTTTTTGCACAGATGGAACGAGTTTGTTGTGCTCTACAAAATGAGATCCATTTCCAACATTTTTTGTGGAAAAAAAATTTCATGTCCCTCGTACCAACAACATATCATATGATATCTTTTCCGTTTTTAAGTCGTTTTGGATAAATTTTGCAACAAGAAACGAGTTCATTCTGCACTTATTTCTACAGATTATTCAATTTCCTTTTGAGGGGCGGAGGGAGGGAAGATGAGAAAAGGACAGGAGAATCAAAACCAGAACGGGACCCATACACTCTCTCCCTGGCTGTAAACGTCACCATTTCTTCCCCACTCCGTTACATCTCGAGCTGCTCATTTGCTGATAGCTTTCCTGATCAATGATCATCGAGCTCAGAAAGTCGCTCTCTCCTTTCAGTTTTTCCCTATTCATTTTCACTCAGCTTTTCCCCACTCCCTCGGTCTCGCCGTCCCAATTCGGGCCTTTGCCCTGATCACCCAGTTTTCCTTTTTCCTTGATTCTTCAGTTCAGAGATGGCTTCAATGGCGGCCAGTTCAATCGCCGCACCTTCTTCGGTTAACAAAGGTCGACTCTCTTCCCTCTTCCTCTCCCCTCCCGACAGACTTCCCCACAGGAATGCTTGCTTCTTGCCCCTAAAGAAACTTCGATCATCATCGGCGGTTCCATTGGCTAAAACCGACGCTGGCTTGGCTTTCTCGCCGCTACCCCCGGGGAATCGGAGCTTCCTACCGACGGCGGGGTTGTCGACTAGGGTGTTGGGGTTCTCCCTCTCGAGTCAACTGGTGAGGAGAAGGCCCATTGAGCGTCTGGTCGTTAAGGCGGCTGCTGCTTATGAAGAAGAAGGGTTAGACTAATTACTTGCTTTTTTAGTTGTTGCTTTGTTTAGGATGTTTGTTATTGTTTCATTTTTTTTCTTTATCGATTTCTTCCCCTTCTGGAGGTTCTGTTTGATTGGCTGAGTCACTGATTTCTCAGAGGAGAAGAAAAAGAATTCTCAGACTGAATTCCTTATTGGTTGATTGATTAGTATTGATACTTTGTTGCTCTTCCATTACTTCTATGTAGCCATTTAGAGGCAGCTGCAAAGAGCTTTGGTGAGAGATTTCCTGCTCTGGTCACTGGCTTCTTTTTCTTCACTTGGTAGGCCACCATTGACAACTCCACCTCCTGAGCTAGACAATTTCTTGTGCGTACTTAGCCTCCAATTCTTGACTTGGCGATTCGTTTATTTGTCTGGTTCAGGTACTGCTTGAATGTGATCTTCAACATACTCAACAAGAAAGTCTACAATTACTTCCCTTACCCCTAGTATGTGTGTTTCCTCCAGTTATTTTACATCTCTAATGGAGTGTCCACGAATTCCTATACAATCTATTAGTTTAGAGAGACCTTATGGCTTCAAACCCTTTCTGCAGCTTTGTCTCTGTGGTACATCTGCTAGTTGGAGTGGTGTATTGTCTTGGTTCTTGGTCTGTTGGCCTGCCGAAACGAGCTGTAAGTCAAACAAACTAAATGTATTTGAACGAAACTTAATAACCAATCAAGAGATTGATGATGATCTGGTTTATTTATGACTTGGTGTTTCTCCTGTTGCCAGCCGATCAATAAGGAGCTGCTGCTGGTATTGACTCCAGTTGCGTTCTGTCATGCTCTTGGCCATGTCATGTCCAATGTATCATTTGCAGCAGTTGCAGTGTCTTTCACACACACTATTAAAGGTAACGAAATCAGCTGAAAAGGATCATCATCATCATCATGTTCTTCTTTTTTCCTGGTTGGTTTTAGGAGTAAGCAAGCTTGCTTTTACTGTATGAGCACTCGACGTAAACCATGTTAGAAACACTAGGTCAGACTATGGTTCGACCCTCCCTGGATTCTGTCAAGTGCTTCTTATTTCATTGTAGATTGCAAGGATATTCCAATGTGCTTGTTACGATTTCTGTGCTTAAGATTGTTTCCTGACGATTCTTGTGATGCACTTCGACAGCGCTGGAGCCGTTCTTTAGTGCTGCTGCTTCTCAGTTTGTTTTGGGCCACCAGATTCCACTTTCACTGTGGCTTTCCTTAATGCCAGTTGTTCTTGGTACTTGATTTTCTAAACTCTTTACCCCTTTACATAATGAATTGGTCCTCAATACTGCACTATCACTCAAAGTGAGGTTTCAAACTAACTTTGGTTGATCAGGTGTGTCGATGGCTTCTCTGACTGAGCTTTCTTTCAACTGGACTGGTTTCATCAGTGCCATGATCTCCAACATTTCATTCACCTACAGAAGCATCTATTCTAAGAAAGCAATGGTGTGTAACTATGTATAAATTTATGTGCCCTTTGTTCTGTTCTTTCTAGAAAGAGAGGTCGTTTTTAACTGATGTTGATGTAAAATTCAACAGACTGGCATGGACAGCACGAATGTGTATGCTTACATTTCAATCATCGCACTCTTTGTCTGCATCCCACCGGCAATACTGATTGAAGGCCCTAAGCTGATGCAACACGGTTTCAGCGATGCCATTGCCAAAGTTGGGTTGGTCAAGTTCTTATCTGACTTGTTCTGGATAGGAATGTTCTACCATCTCTACAATCAGGTATCTTTCTCGACTTAAAACAACTAAATAGTGGTGATTTCATTTCGTTGTTTTGAGCAAAAACATTATCTGACTTGCAGGTTGCCACAAACACACTGGAAAGGGTTGCACCACTCACGCATGCAGTAGGGAATGTGTTGAAGAGAGTGTTTGTCATTGGCTTCTCCATCGTCATATTCGGTAGTTGCTTCATCCTACTCACTTCATACAATCCAATTGTTCAATAGGTCGATCACATAGTTCTTCTAGAGTCTGAACTTGAGGTTCTGACATTCTTGGGCAGGCAACAAGATCTCCACACAAACAGGAATTGGTACGGCCATAGCCATTGCAGGAGTTGCAATGTACTCTCTGATCAAAGCTAACATGGAAGAGCAAAAACGGGTACTGAATTAACCCAATGAATCAGAAATCATTGACCCAATCCCAGAAATCATCTAAAGATTCTACCTTTCTTTTCTTTTGATTGTTTTACAGAAGGCAGCTGCTGAAGCACCATCATCATAAGGAATGATAGGCCAACAGACTCTGATCAAACTAACAGTTAGCAACAGCCTACACAGAGCAAATAAACCAGACATTCGAGACCCTTTTAACTCTGAGGTACAAAGACTAGCAATAATAAATCCACGGAATTTGAGTACAAGCCATAATGAGCCTGCTACATGCTTCTTCATCCTTGCTACTGTAATGAGCAATGGCAATTTGATTATAATTATCCTATGTTGTTGGCAAATACAACGACACAGCTTCCTTATAATCTTTCTTCTACTCTTTAGGACGCATTTCGAGCAATGAACCATTATATAACGAAATAATACAGAAATTGTAGCAAGTGGCAAAAGCCATGTATTCAACGTATAAAAGAGGCCAGTTTCTATAACTGTAATGACCTAGCAAAACATTTTATACTGCAAGATTATCCTACAAGAATTAGGAAAGCTCTCCTACCATGAAGCGTGGCAGTAACTCAACTTCAAATCCAAAAAGAACAAAAGATTTATCCTATCAATTATTACAAAATTCTTGCCAATCCATATCTCACTGCTACCAGAGCTCAGAACCCACGTTAAGAGCTTTTTGTTGTGGGTTGATGATTCTAGTTAGTAATCATTGCTAGAAGCAGCAAACATTCTCAGGTAATTTACAAGCAGGAACTGATGTAACGAATAACTGAGAACAAGATCGAGTTAGGTGCATGTCAACTAAGATCGACCAAGAAAATTCATGAGTCGTCCTGCAAGAAGTACAATAACCAAAATTAGCTGGTGAAAACACCATTTCAATTATTTTGGTCCATTTCCCGCGTAAGAAACAATGATACATTACCCATCAAGCAAAATCGGTGCTATATTGGAGATTGAATAGCATGTTCCTACGATTCTCTCCACCCAGTCTAATGTTGAACTGTGTTGCCAAAGAACCCACTTTTTTATTGTTATCATAGTCCACCTCGCGCACACAACGTCTTCTGACCTTCTTTAGGATTTCCTTTGTGGGGACATATCCTTCAGATACCTGTGCATCCAAAACGGTCCGATGCGGTTAATAGTTCCATCTTGCAAAGGCTACCAAAAATACAATAAATACACTACCTTACCATCTGGCCAATAGTGGATAAAGCAGCTTTTACATCTCGGTTGATGAGATGAGCATCGATGATCAATGAATATGACATTGCATTGGGTTTAATACCCAAGCCTATCATGTGTTCAAGCACCTTTGAAGCTTCATCTGTCTGTTAACCCATGAAAGCTTAACCATCAGCATGCGAAGGCAAGATGCAGTTGCAGGCAGGATAATTCAGAGAAACTATTTCTGTCCACATGCAGGGGAAGAATGGAAAAGAAACAGATTTTCTCCGTAAGTTTTACCTTCTTCGACCTTCCAAATGCAAACATCAATGCATTAAATGAGTGAATATCAGGGGCCAAACCAAAAGAAGGCCCAATAGCCTCAAATGTCTGGTATGCACGGTTAAGGTCCCATACATTCGCACACCCCAATATTACACAGTTAAAAGCAGCAACAGATTTGAATGGTGGTTGAGCTTTGCTCAAATTCTCCAGTTGATAGTACACCTGGAGACATGTTTTAACAAGCGCATGTAAGATATCAGGTCAAAATAAAATTTTGCAGGAATCACGAAAAAAGTAAACTTGAATCATGGGACATGTTAGACCCATATTTTTATCATGGAAGGCCGAATTAACTTTGAAACTGTTGTAAATACTCAATACTGACTTCCAGATGTGGAAAAAAATTACCAAGTCAAGGGTCTCGAAACCATTCTTGGAACAAGCCAAAACTAAAGGACGCAAGGAAGTAAAGGGGGAGAACAGCTCTTCTTGTATTTCTTGGTTAGATTTACCATAAGCAGCGTCAAATTCATTCAGAGTAGCAAAAGCCTTTTCTAGACTCCCCAAAGATGCATGCGCATATATCTTTCCAAGATAGGACTCGGGGTTAGGAGCTTTGTTACCACGTATTGAACGGCGAAGAACTGCCCATGATGCATCTAGGAGAGTAGGACTGTGTGTCCTGCCAGCAGTGGCAAGTGCTGATACAATTAATCCTTCATCTACAGAAAGATGAACAGCAGGCCGAGCAATCTCCCCTCTGGCTATCCATTTGGCCATGAACTCTAGAGCATAGAATGCAAGGGTACTGTTATCCCCCTCCATTGCAGCTTCAGCAATGTTGTAGCACATGTTCCACGTTGGTGAGAGTGCTTTGTTCTGATCCGTTGTCTGACATGAGACATATATGCAACAATTTCACTGTAAAATCTAAGGGTATAGAGTGCATCTAAGACCAAGGAAGCAGTTAAATTATTGGCCCCTCAGTAAGTAAGTAAGTAAGTACCTTGCATTTCTCAATAATAGATGCCAACACATCGAGTCTCCGTTTGCGAATACAAGTCTGCACACAGTTATTAAATACTCTCATGGATAAAATGCCACCCATTTTCAAGGTCTTCTCAATATACTTCAAGGCAGAATTAATCTGGTCTGTCTGGAACAGCATGCTAATGACCAAGTCATATGACTCGTCATCTGGCTGAGATTCTTTCCCTGTGATCTCCATTCTGAAACAGTGATGAACATGTCATGAGAAAAAGGCTACCCTTTATAAGGCGGGCAACATTAAATTTACGTATCTGGAACTATTACAGAGAGAGATCCAGCTTTGCATTTCTAAGCCTAATCAAAGCAATTGGATGCGTACAAAAATTGAAAGATACAATAGTCACTTTCTATCATGAACCCTGGTAAAACCATTGATTTCTTTATAGGAAGTTGACATAATAACTGGTGACCCCTTTTAGCTACTTAATGTGGTCTTACAAGCATGGAACTAAGGTTTGTACGACAGTTTCAGCAAATTTTTAGGAGATCCTCCACGAGAAATGCCCTAGAAGCAGTTTACCTAAATAGGCACCAGCATCAAGAAATGCAATTCAGACTGTAATTAACCTTCGTTCTGGAGCCAGAAACATTCTCAGATTAGGGTTATTTCTCATAACCGGTTAACTTAACCAGTTCATACAGACAACTTCATTAACTCCAAAAACGGATCTTTAAATTATTAATTGTATATACATGGCACCACGAGACGAACATTTAAAAGTGGAATTCTTGCATTTCACAAATATGCAGTCTATGAACAAGATATATCCCAAGTTTTAAATAGAAGAAGGAAAGAAAAAAAAAAACTTGATTCATCCCCAAAGCTTTGTTTCAAATGAACAGAACTAAATACAAGTTGAAATAACTTATGTCAAAACTTCAATCATCAGGACTCGCAAAAGAGTAAGCACCACCAACATAAAATTGCCAAAGCAATCTCCCAGACATACCGTTGCAGCAACTTCTCTGCAGCCTCTGTCTCTCTGGCCTGGTTCATAGCTTTCAGCACCAAATTGAAAGAAGCTGTATTTGGCGCAAGATCGAAATCCCCCATTTGCGCAACCAAATCAAGCAAATCGCCAGCAGTAGCATCCATCATTAGATTCGCCCTCAAGTAATGGTTGTACAGATCCACATCTGGCTTGTGGGGGCTCCCATTATTGTCCAACGACCGCACCCAGAACTCGAATAGCTCCTTCATGTCCGACCACCGCTGCGACGTCATCCAATCGGCGAACAAGTTCAGCAGTGAGCACACATCGTAAGCCTGATACATTGCCAGCAAAGGGTCGACAGGAGCTTGCTGGAACGGGTTGAAGGACTGAGGCAGCGCCACGCGGTGACTCTGGACGGGCCTCCGCCAGTTCTCCTGATAAAGAGGGCTGCCGGAGGCCGGATTTGGCGGGAGTGGAGTTTGGGGGACATTTTCGGGCTCGGTTGCCAGCTGAGGTTCTTGGGAAAGGAAGGTGAAGGTGGAAATGGACTTGATTGAGTTGAGAGTTCGGGTCAGGGGCTTCGTCTTTCCCAGGATCGCCATCGACGACGCCATTGATGAGCTTAGCTCACTCACTACGCCCCGATCTTTCGGAAATCTTAATTTAGGGTTTACGAAAAGGGAGATCGGAAGCAGCTGAAGAAAGGGGTCAATTTGTAATTCTGGGAGATCATAATGCACGAAAGGGTAATTTTCCATGTATGACGGGTATTTCAGTTTTTTCTGAAATGAGCATCGGGATTCGGGTGGAGTGGGGTGGGGTGGGGTGGGGTGGGATCCAAAGTTTTTAATTGTAAACTTAGGTTACCGTAAAATTATTTTTTTCATTTCGTATAGAGAATTTAAAAATTATGAAACTCATTAATTTTAAGAAAATTACAAAAATTGAAACATGAACGTCACTTGAACAATAAGTTCTTTAACAAAATTAAAAAAGTAAATATGAAATATAAGATCCACAATGTCTATATTAATAATGAAGAATTAATAATTGAGATCATGGACAATATTAATGTAATATATAAATTAAAATTTTGTTTAATTTAACTATTCAATAAAATTATCAATTACATATAAATCATGTATTTGGTAATTTAGTGCTTTTAAAAGAAGAGGGAAATGTTGGTGTATTCAATTTTTGGAGAAGAGAAAGAAGAGGGAAATTTGGTTCTTTGAATTTTTTAGAAAAGAAATAAGGGAGAATTTTGGTGGTTTTGGTTTGTGGGGGAGAAAGGAGTGGGAAAGTTTAGTTCGTTTGACTATGAAAGAGAAATAAGGATGAAAATTTTGAGTTTTCAACTTTTTGTGTAAGGAAGGAAGAAAGAGGAAATTTTGGTTTTACAATCTTATGGAAGAGAAAGACGAGAGAAATTTGATTCTTTCAATTTTATAGAAAAGAAAAAAGAGGGAAAGGTGAGTGTTTCTTATTTATGGAAGAAGAAAGGAGGAAAATTTTAGTTTTTTTTTTTTTGGCAAAATACACTTGTATAGTCAAAACTTTCGTTTTTGTGACAATAATAGCCAAATTTGAAGAAATACCACTTATAGCCAGATTTTGTAAAGGGTATTGGACAAATATAGCCATTTTCGTTAGATACTTTAATGGTGTTATTAACTCCGTTAACTTCTTTGACTGTTTGCTGACTAAGCGCCAACTCAGCGCACACGTTAGCGCACCAAATAAACCGAAAGTGACACGTCATAATTAAAATTTATTTAATAATTACATGTCATAAATTAACAAATTTATAAAAAAAAATTAATAAAAATTTACTTTAATTTCTTCCAATTTCTTCATCGCCCCTGACGCCCTCTCTTCTACAGTCCCAGATCTCTGATTATCCTGATTCTCACCGATTTTGAAGTTTCCTAAAACCAAAACAAAAAAATCAAAATCGACATTTCCTCTATCTCTCTTCACATCTGTGTCGTTTCCCAAAATCCTATGAAACCCATAAATCCCAACGATGAGAGCAGGAAGAAGTGGAGAAAGAGCAGGGAGAGGATGGTTGAGAATCCATCTCCTCTTCATCGTTGGTGTGGAATCGACACTAGGTAGGTAGCAACTACAAGGGAATCGACATCTTCCGACGAACTGCCAAAGATCTGTCTCTGTTGAAGCTCTCCTCATCTTCCTGTCGTGGCACGACCCGGATTCGATCGGGTATCATCATCGTCTTCCGATGAAACTGGATTCAAATCCTCTAGCTTCATCTCCAAAACCCTTATCATTTGAATCAACCACCATCGTTGGAACTCGAATCGGGGGCAGCAAGTTTGCAATCGCAGAACTTCGACAGATTTAGAGATGGGAAAGATCTGTCTCTGCTCCTCTCGATAGATTAGGCTCTGGCTCTGGAATCGCACTCAACAAAACTGGATCTGCTTTTGCCTGGTCGGCGATATGATAGCTTTCATCTCCTTCCTCACACGTTGTTTTTAGAGTAGAAGAATAAAAGTAGAAGGAGAAGATAATTAGGTTATTCACTTGTTGGTTCAAACTTCAGACCAGAGAGACGAGGGAGAATAGAATTGTGGATGATTATCTCCTGCAGAAACAAAAGAAAGAATGGAGAGAGTTTGGGTACTTTGGGTCATTCTTTTTAGGTTTAATTCACTTGCATAGCCATAACTTTCACGATTTTGACAAATATAGCCACTTTTTGAAAAATACACAGATATAGCCACTTTTTTGAAACATGATTGTCAACTTTAGTCATTTCCGTTACAAATTATAACATCGTCATAGACGCCGTTAATAACATCTACGTGTCGCTGAGGTGGATGCCACTTGCATGACACGTCATCACCAACTAGACATATTCATGCCACCTAGACGCCATGTCATACGCCACATCATATTAAAAGTAGATTTTTAAACAGAAAATAACTAATTTTACTAAAAAAAAAACATTTTATAAGAAATAAATTATTTTATTTTTATTTTCTCTCTCTCTATTCATTCATCCCTTCCCACTATGTTGCTTGTCTTCCCAAATTCCCCTCCCCCTTCTTCACCAGATCCAAATTCATGATTCCTCCCTTCAAACCCTCTCTCTTTCCCCATCAATTATCCTGGGCTATTTCACACTAGTAGCGGCAGGATTGAAATATCATAGGCTCCTCCACTAATGATGCTGTCGAATCCCGGCCATGAATGAGAACGACCCTGCTCGCTCTGGATCGTCGAAGCAGCTACCCCTCCCTCCGCACCCACAGCTCCGTCGCCGACCCGAAGTGCAGATCTGGAGCTCCCCCTCACTGCAAGTCGCCACTCCTTCTTGCCAGCCTGCCACTATAATAAAGAACCCAGTTTCCCCATAAAACCCAGAACCAGCGACATTGGAATCTCAACGAACAAAAAATCGATGCTGGTGTGGGGATGTTGTGGAACCCAGAAACCTAGAACCCACCAAGCTTCACCGCAATCCAAAAACTCAAACCCTCCAAGCTCAACGCATTCCCTCCTTCACTCCTCCCTCCCATCGCCGGCGTCACAGACCTCTCTCTCCCTGTTAAATAGGTTTCTCTTTCTTGTAATCTTGGCCGGATTGAAGCACCCCAGCCCTCGTCATCTCGATCCTTGTCGTCACGGAACGCAGTTCGCCTGCGTCGAGTCCTCTGGCTCGCTTGCTTCTGGTCGGCGACGGAGCTGGTGGATGCGGCTGAAGAATTGGCAGCGACGAGAGAAGAAAAGGAAGGGGAAGAAGTCTACAGAGCTTCAATGAAGCTATTGATGGTGAAAATTCAAACGATTTGGGATTTTTCAAGGCGATCTGGTTTCTTCAATCAATTGAGGGAGGAGAGCTTGATGACACGGCAGAATAGAGGTGGGAGGTTGAGAGTTACGAGGAAGAGGAGGAGGAAGAGGAAAAGCATAAGCGGCGGAAGGGAATAGTAGTTTTTAGAAATTTTCAATTAATTAAAAAAGAATAATTTACATCTAGGCATAGTTTTTTTATGAACAATCACCATGTCAGCAAAAATCGTTAGTACAGTCAGCATTTATTACTATTCCGTTAAAGTTATAGACGGAATGGCTATATCTGTGTATTTTTTAAAAAGTGGCTATATTTGTCAAAATCGTGAAAGTTATGGCTACGCAGGTGAATTAAACCTTCTTTTTAATAAAACAATAATTATGGAAAAAATCCAGAGGAAGAAGGCTGTCAGATAAAGCCTTTTCAATTTTTATCCACTTATTTTTTTTAATTTTCAAAATCCACGTGGATTCTTATGCACATAATAGGCCGAAAGTGCTCCCACGTCAGCGTTTCCGTTTGTCCAGTCAGATTTAACGCTAACACCGTTAAAGAATTGGACGGAAATGGCTATAAGTGGTATTTCTCCAAATTTGGCTATTATTGTCACAAACGCGAAAATTTTGGCTATACAAGTGTATTTTGCCTTTTTTTTTGTGAAAAGAAAGAAGGAAACAAATTTGGTTTTGAGGGGAGCTTAATGAAACTGATAATTACCGGGGGGAAAAAATTGGTTTTTCTACTTTTTGGTTTTTTTTAATTTTACCCTTTGAAATATGAATCTTTAATTTTTATATGGAGGGCATGACTAGTTAAATTTATTTTTATATGCTTGAAGGCTAATATATATATGTAATTTTTTATGGACTAATAACTAAATTAACCATTAGTTACAACAATCATTTGTTTTACATATCACTTAATTTGTCTACTTGTTTTCTATGCTTCTACATTTATTGCAACTTCAACACTACATGATCGTTATTTTACAACACTTAGTAAAATTTGGGCACATTTAAGTTGTGTTCGTGTTGAACTTTTATTTCAAAATGGGAGTTAACTTTGGCATGTTAAGTCATACTATTGCAATAACTCAGTCACGTTGCGGGTTTGAAAATTTTGGTTAATCCATTGAGGGTAAGTTTAGTGTATAGAATATATGTTATTGAGTAAGTTATGATTGAAGTCACAACAATTTTACTAAATTTTAGAGTTAATCTTTAATGGTTCAATTTTTAGGATAATTCGAATAATTTTACAAATAACTTGTTTGGCACCAGTTTACTGAAGTTATTTGGACAATGAGTTATTTCGAAATAACTACTTTTATCACTCTGCTTTTGCCAAATACCACACACCAAATACCGAATTTGCATGGTTATACTAAAAGAGATACTTTAATCCAATTACTACTGAAATAATAATAAAATATCAAATAAACAATTAATGGTGTCTTTTGGTTGCGAATGTTGATATCACCATTACTATTAGCTAGTATACTTTACCAATTACGATTAATCACATAACAAGTTTGCAAGTCATACAAATTGGTTCAACATTTTGACTAGTTTTTTTTTTAATTAAGTGTATATATACGAGGTAGAAGGAAATTGGTTAAAAAGTTGAGAAAAATACTTTAAATTAGTGTAATAAAATGTGTAAGTTGGTAACGAGTAATGAGTAAGTTACTCGATGCGTTAACCCGAACAACCCGCAACCCGATCCGCCCGCAACCCGCCCGACCCAAAACCCAATGAACCCTCAACCCTATTGAACCCGAACCCGATGAACCCGCAACTTGAATAACCCGCAACCCATTTGAACCCGAACCCGATGAACCCGCAACGCAACTAACCCGCAACTCGTTTGAACCCGAAGCCGATTGAACCCCGCCCAAACCCGTCTGGTTGACACCTACTTTTTCTTTTGAGGGTTGTT